ATATAACAGATATTATCTCTCTCTCCCACTGCTCACTTTGTGAACGTACACTGGGAGGCGCGCCCCTCCCTCAACATTATTCGACCCGAGTCACGAAATATTTCCTCCTTCTCCTTTCCTTCCTCTTAGCCTTCGGCTCTATACTGCGCTAAGTGATACGTGCAACCCTCGTCTTAGATACCCCCTGATATGATCATATAACAGATATTATCTCTCTCTCCCACTGCTCACTTTGTGAACGTACACTGGGAGGCGTGCCCCTCCCTCAACATTATTCGACCCGAGTCACGAAATCTTTCCCCCCCCCTCCCCCCCGTTTCCTTTGCTCCTTGCCTTCCTCTCAGGCTACGGCCCTATGCCACGCTGCGAGAAACATTACGCGTAGGCGTAGTCGTGACATCATGAGTCTAAAACGTCGCGCGTCTTTCGAGGCGAGGTGTCGCAGATATCTGGGGCCCGTTGTCAGAAACAAAATTGGTCTTAACATTAGTCTTAACAATAACATTTTCTCTTAGACCGTCGACAGAAACGCTGCGAAGTTACGAGAATGAAAAATCGTAGCAAATTTCCTCATAACAATACGAAACTAAGTGATGTCGACGGTCTAGGAGAAATTGTTAATGTTAAAGGGACAGTAGCCTCTAGGATTTTACTGCATACAACTGTACTTACTGTATAACAAATCGTCTATACCCACACGTATTTGTCCAATTTTTATTACATGCAAAGAGTATATACACCGGCGACTAAATGTATCGCTCAAATTTTTAACCTGATAAGATTGTTTCTCAACTAGAAAAATCCCAAGCCAACTGGGCCCGATTTGCATACATGCGTCACGACATTAAATGCTGCTATGGGCTATGTATCCGAGTACACGGCATGTGTTGTTCACATCGAACGCAATAGCAGAATAGGAAGTGAATAATGCAGCATTTTAACCATAACAAAGTGTAACAGTAATCACTTACATTTGTGAAAAAAGTGGAACATAATTTTTTTTTACTATTTACGGTAACATAATCTCGTGAACCATCGTCACATCTTTGAAATGCACTGCCGACCTCGTTAGCAGACGCACATGATCCTTTTTAGAAGGATGTGCGAAATAACTCGTTAGATGATGTACACAGCATCCTCGTTGGAAGATGCGCAGCATCCTCGTTAGCCGATCACTGCGATTAACTGCCTGCATCACCGCTTGCAGCATCCTGACCCCCGTCTCGCCTTCCCCTTTGCAGGTGGACGAAGATCTTCAGTTAAGAGAAGGGAAACGTGCTGTACCAGTACAGCGCCAGTCCTACCCGCTGCACGGACTTCACGTTGAGACGTTCGAGCGACGAACCGTCCGCGTTGAGTGTAGCTAGTAGGCGACGGCGTAGCGTGCTGGTAGACCAGGGTTACGTTAGCGCGGTCTTCCACAAGTCTTATAAGCTACATTATTTGCAAAATAAAATACAGCCCTATTATACTTATTTTTGGCCTGAAATCATCAGAATCAGTCCTTATTTTTTGCAAAGGGACGAATTGTTTTAAAACCTGGTTCTCGACTTCAGTAGAGCTAAGAATTGTTGCCTATATATAATAATACGAATCTCGCTTGTGCAATTGCTGTATATAAATTCAGCCTTATTAGTGTACTTGTAATAGACGCCGGTAAAAAAGCTCTTATTTTGCCTCCAGAAACAAGGGCTCTTATAAGCCTTATTTTCAAACATGTGTCTCTACTACTATGAACCCTGGTAGACATCTCCACACCATATCGCAACGGACCGTCCTTCGATTGCACATTATCGTCATCGGGGATCAATCTCAGACGTCCCCATCCTTAGCGGGCATACAAGTACAGTACGCAATCTCTATTATCCGAAAACTCTTGGACCAGACACATTTCGGAAAATTCAGAATTTTTTTGGATTCGGAAATGGTAGTACAGTTGAGATAGTATACTACCGGTATATCCTGCAACTAGCCAGTACTAAAATCAAGTGTTGACAAGAGGGCAAGCTGCTGTTACCGGTACGTACAATGTTGTATGGACTAACGCCAAACACATTAATATTCGTTCTGGTAAAGTGTTTCGAGCTTTTCGGTTTTTCAGGAATTTCGCATATAGATGTGTGTACTTTCGTTGTACGCCAGACGGGAGTAGTTGGTAGCGTGACATGTTACTGGTCGATCATCGGTTATACTTCATTTCATGGCCAGACGCCTCCCCCCCCCCATCCCCAGTGAACATGGGTGTCGGACGAGAGTGTCAGCAGGGGTGCATTGCACACTGTGCATGGGGGCCATGTCTGTGGACGAGTCCAGGCAGGGTGAATTGCACACTGCTGCATGGGGTGTCTGTGGGCGAGTGTAGCAGGTTGCATTGCACACTGATGCACATGGGTGTGGTGCGAGTGTAGCAGGGTTGGCATTTGCACACTGTGCATGGTGTCTGTGTGGCAGAGTGTAGCAGGGTGCATTGCACCACTGTGACAATGTGGTGTCTGGTGAGCGAGATGTTTCATAGCAGGGTGCCATTTGCACACTATGCATGGGTGTCTTGGGCGAGTGTAGCGAGGGATGCATTGCCCACGCACTGTGCATGGGTGTTCTTGGGCCGATGTTAGCAGGGTGCAGTTGCACACTGTGCATGGAGCTGTGTGTGGGGCGAGTGTAGCAGGGGAGTGCACACTGTTGCCATGGGTGTGCGGCGAAGTGGTAGCAGGGTGCATTGCACACTGTGTGCCATGGGGTGTCTGTGGGCGAGGTGTAGCAGGGGTGCATGCACACTTATGCGAATGGGTGTATGTTGAGCGAGTGTGCAGGGTGCAGTGCACACTGATGCATGGGGTGTGGGCGAGTGTAGCAGGGTGCTTGCACACTGTGCGTGGGTGTGGCGAGTGTAGCAGGGATGCATTGCCACACTGTGACATGAGGTTGTCTGTGGGCAGAGTGTTAGAGGGTGCAATTGCCACACTGTGCATGGGTGTCTGTGGGCAGGTGTCGTAAGCAGGGTGCATTGCACACTGTGCATGGGTGTTGTGGGCGGGTGCTAGCAGGGTGCATTGCACACTGTGCAGGGGTGTCTGTGTGCGAGTTGTAGCAGGGTGCATGCCACGCTGTGCATGGGTGTCTGTGTGGCGAGTGTAGCCGCGGGCATTGACACTGTGCATGGGTGTCTGGGGGCGAGATGATAGCCAGGCGTGCATTGCACACTCGTGCATGGGCTGTCTTGGGCCGAGTGTAGCAGGCGTGCATTGACACTGTGCATGGGGATTAAATGTCTTGTGGGCGAGTCTAGCAGGGTGCATTGCACACTGGGCGTGGGTGTCTGTGGGCGAGTGTAAGCAGGGTGCATTGCACACTGTGCATGAAGGTGTCTGCTGGCGCGCAAGTGTAGGCAGGGTGCATTGCCCACACTGTGCATGGTGTAGGGCGAATGTAGCAGGGGCATTGCACATGTGAGGGGTGGACCGGTGTCTGTAGGGCGAGATGTAGCAGGCGTGCCATTGCACACTGTGCATGGGTGTCTGTGCGGCGAGTGTGCAGGGGTGCATTTGCACACTCGTGCTGGGTGTGGGCGAGATGTAGCAGGGTGCAGTTGCACACTGTGCGGTGGATGTGGCCGATGTAGCAGAGGTGCATTGCACACTGTGCGTGGGTGGGCACGAGTGTAGACAGGGTGCATTGACACGGTGCATGGGTGTCGTGGCGAGTGTAGCAGGGTGACATTGCACCACTGTGGTGGGTGGTTTGTGGGCGAGTGTTAGCAGCGGTGCATTGCCACACCTGTGCATGGGCTGTCTGTGAGCGAAGTGCTAGCAGGGTCTGCCATTGCACACGTGGTGCCATCGGGGGTTTGTGGGCGAGTGTTAGCAGGTGCATTGCCACTGTGCGATGGGTTGTGGGCGAGGTGTAGCAAGGGTGGCATTGCCACACTGATGCATGCGGTGTTTGTGTGTGAGTGTTAGCAGGCGTGCATTTAGACACTATGCATGAGGTGTCTGTGGGCGAGTGTAGCAGGGCTGGCATGAACACTGTGCATTGGGGCCGGCGATGATGGTGAGCGAGCATGTAGCAGGGGATGCATTGCACACTATGCATGGAGTGTCGTTGTGAGGCGAGCTTGGTAGACAGGCTCGCATTGCACACTGCTGCATGGGGTGTGGTGCGAGATGTAGGGCAGGAGTGCATTGCACACTGGTGCCATGGGTGTCTGTGGGCGAGTGTAGCAGGGTGCATTGCACACTATGGCATGGGGCGCCATGTCTGTTGAGCGAGTGTAGCAGGGTGCATTGCCACTTGTGCATGGGATTGTGCGGCGGAGTGTAGCAGGGTGCATTGCACTTACTGTGCAATTGGGTGTGGGCGAGTCTAGCAGGGTGCATTGCACACTGTGCACTGGAGGATCTGTGTGGCGCAGTGTAGACAGGGTGCATTGCCACACTGTGCATGGGTATGTCTGTGGGCAGAGTGTAGCAGGGTAGCATTGTGCCACACTGGCTGGGCTGTCTGTGGAGTGAGTGTAGCAGCGGTGCCATTAGCAACATGTGCATGGTGGTGTGGGCGAGTGTAGTAGCAGGGTGCATTCTGCACACTGCTGCATGGTGTTGGCGAGGTGTAGCAGGGTGCATTGCACACTGTGCATGGGTTCTGTGAGGCGAGTGTAGCAGGCGACAGCATTCGGCCACCGTCCGCTCCCTTTCGTCAACAGATACCGCCGCCCTGCCAGTCCGCCGCGCTTTCCCGCACACGTCACCATACCACTCCCACAATCTTGGCTTGCGGGTGCTACTACACCTCCTTCGCCTTGCCCCTTCTCCGCCACCCTAAGTTGATTATCTCCTCCCCCTGGGCGCACCTTCGTCGGACGTGCAGTCTCGCCTAACAGTCCTGATCTTCTCATGTGATCTACCCTCGATCCTCTTTAGCCCCTAGCATGGTCCTCTAACAGACCAGTGCGTTCTCCCTACCCCCAACCTGAATCTGTTTATACCTAATCACCTCCTCAACCAAAGATCACTGTTCCCATATCCCAGAAAACTTCATCCACAACGCCGCTGGCCTCCTCCCTGTCTTCACAGTGTCTTTGTTGCATTGCCCACACTGTGCAATGGGTGTCTGTGGGCGATGTTCGTAGCAGGGTGCATTGACATGTGGTGGGGTGGGCGAGATGTAGCAGGGTGCATTGCCACACTGTGCATGGGTGTGGCGAGTGTAGCAGGGTGCATGGCACATTGCGAATCGGGGATTTCTACCCTTTCGTTGCCCAACATGATACGTTTAGTTGGGTTCGGTACATGATGCAGGATGTCTAGCATGTTGCGTTGGCTTGGGCGGGAGATGCGCGCGCCACACGTACAAACATCAGGGGCCCCCACGTTGTCAGAAAAAAAATTAGTCTTAACGATTAACAATTTCTCCTAGAGCCGTCGACATCACTTTGGTTTCGTATTGTTTATGAGGAAATCTGCTACGATATTTTCATTCTCGTAACTTTCGCGCAGCGTTTCTGTCGACGGTCTAAGAGAAAATGATTATTGTTAAGCACTAATGTTAAGACCAATTTCTGTTTCCTGACAAGCGCCCCAGATATCTGCGACCCGCCTCGAAGACTGCCGCGCACGCGTTTGTTATTAGCTTCATCGATGAACGACTAGCCTACGACGTAATGTTATCTCGCAGCGTGGCGGAGCGGCCAGTAGCCTGAGAGGACGCAAGGGAGCAAGGAAAACGGGGGGCGGGGTGGGGGTGCCAAAGATTTCGTGGACGTCGGGTCGAATAATGTTGAGGGAGGGCGCGCCTCCAGGGTACGTCACAAACAGGACCAGCCAGTGGGATGAGAGAGATTAATATCTGTTAGTATGATCATACAGAGAATGCCAACCACTAGATTTATCGTATTTTATACGTATTTCTATTCTTTTTGCACCACTACGACCAGTTTTGTATCCAAATACGATTTCCATGTGGATAAAAACAAATTTTTTAGTCAATTATTATTTTTTACCCTCAGATATGCAGCGAAATTGCATCTCAGAATAACAAAATTTTCATGGGGGGGCATGATGAAACTTACTACATAACTTTCTGTGTTCCGGGGACCCTCGACACTACTAATTACTAACTAAGTTGAATGGCCAGAAACTGACGATTGCTATCAAAGTATACGTTGGACATCTCTGATATGCAGGGGGTGTTCTAAGACGAGGGTTGCACGTATCACTTTTAGCGCGTATAAGAGCGAAAAGCTAAGAAGCAAGGAAAGGAGAAAGGAGGAAATCATTGTGATCTGGGGCAATAATAAGGACGAAGGAAGGGGCAGCGGCTACCAGTCTTATTCGGTACACGGACGCTGACCGGAGGTGGGTGGTATCTGCGAGCGGAGGGTGGGGTGTCGTATCTTGGAGACGGAGGGTCGGGCGGGTGGTTCTGAGATGCGAGAGTGGCGGTGGTTCTGAGACGGAGGGTGGTGTGGTATCTGAGACCGGAGAGGTGGGGGTGGTATCTGGACGAAGAGGGTGGGGGGGTGGTATCTGGGGGGAGGGTGGCGTGGTGGTATCTGAGCGGGGGTGGGGGTGGTATCTGATTGACGGAGGGTGGGGGTGGTATCTGAGACGGAGGGGGTGGGGGTGGTATCTGGGGGGTAGCGTGGGTGTGCGTATGTGAGACGGAGGGTGGGCGGTGGTATCTGAGACGGCAGGGTGGGTGTCTAGTATCTGAGACGGGGGGGTTTCCAGAATCACTTTGCGATCGTGCCGTCGACTTTACGGAGTCGTTCGCGAGTATCTTGTTGTACGAGCTCGTCCTCCGCGGTTGAGAATACAGAGGTGACGCGGGGGGTGGGGTTTATTTTATATCCTTCGCGAGGGTTTTTCGACTTATGCGAACGAGTATGTACGCGTATAGTGGTTCGCTCACGCTGTCGGTCGCCGCGTTTGCTCTTTGCAGACCACGTGCTAACGGGGTGTGGCGCGCCGTGGGAGGCGAAAACTTCATCACGTTCACTCGGAAACGGAGGATCGTGCAAGTTCAACGAGGATTTTACGCGAGTTGATCCTGAGGTTACTGCTGATCCACTCGATCGGCTCGATGCATCTATTGATTTATGAGATTCATATTGACTTATTCGCTTGGATTGACTGATC